CGAGGTTTGGCTACGCCTAGTTCTAAACTTCCGCGTGCTTCCCTTGCTTAGCTTGGGAATTTTAGTAGTCAATCCTAGCGAGTCCCTGCGCTGCATAGTTTTTAACAAAATGAAAGTATTCGTAATTTGATGGCAATGCAAACGTACCACAAACAAGATTTAGTTAAATCACTTAACGCTGTCTACTCGATTCCGTCAGTATCAAAATGTCTCTTAGATCTCTCACGACTAAACTAGTGACTCAGCTAAAGTTACACACAGGGTCTACCCAGTATTGATATAATGCTAACTCAACCCGGTTGTATAGTATAACAGTATCACTAAGTTTCCACAAGATATGATCGACAGACAAAACACAATCGATAATCAGATAAGAATATCCTACAGGTGACAGCGACCTTTTGTCAGTATCAATTTATCGCCACACAATTTATCAAGTCACTGCTTTGTTAAAATTAAACAATCTTTGATAAAAAGCAGTGATGATTCAGAAATAGATAAATAAAACTTAGTCTTAAAGAAAAAGACTTCCCCCAATCGGAACGATCCGAAAGAACGAAGCCCAGGACACAGTCTTCTCAAGTGGGTGTGTATCTGCCTAATACACCCATCGAGGTCTTCTTTTGGGTGTCCTGCGATTGCCCGAGCTGTCCTACTAAGTAGCTCAAGGCAACCTCTGATCGAAAATTCGTCAAATCTATGAAAAAGCTCTCCCACACTCGGACTGCTCCAAGTGCACGAGAGTAGGGAACAATTTTTTTTTCAAGTGGGTGTGTATTTGCCTAATACACCCACCGAGGTCTTCCTTTATTTGTTCCCGGATCGCCCGAACTTTCCTATCAAGTAGCTCAAGGCAACCACACAACCAAAATCACAATCAAAAAAAATTTTTGTTCGGGTACTTTTAATACACCCAATGTAGAATCCAAAGTTGATCACGAATTTCCGGGTCAAAATGGGTTCTTATGATCCTAATAAGCGCGCCTAATATCCTAATATGATCCTAATTAAATGGATATTTTCCGTTTCCCAAGTTGCCACAGAAAGTTTACTCAAGTCTCTAACAAGGAAGATCGTTAGAAGGTTTAAGACACTCCGGAGGGTTACCTCGGAGGGTACCTTGATCACCCAAGTTACTTCGGAGGGTACCTTGATCACCCAAGTTACTTCGGAGGGTACCCTAATCACCCAAGTTACTTCGGAGGGTCCCCCTAAAATTACTAAGGAGGGTCAATAAGATGCTTAATATGCTTCGGAGGGTTACTTCGGAGGGTACCTCCAAAATTTTCAAATTTTTCGATCTCGCTTAGAAGGTTCTCCCCCTCGCTTCAAAAAGCGTCAAAACAAGCTAGGAGCTCTAAGGGGAGCTGTTTTAACTTCTTAGGGTGATCTCGTGGAAATTTTCCACTAAGGAGGGTTGCTAAAGGGTTTAGCTGACTCAGGAGGGTCACTTCGGAGGGTTCCCCCAAAATCAAGAAAAAGGGTTATATCACCGCAGTAAAGCCTCTGAAAGCGGTCTACCTGACTTAAAACTAGGTTGGCTGACACGGTCAACCTTCCCAATTGAATAAAAAGATGTTTTGATAAAATTTTCTGCTGCTCGGAGGGTTACCTGTAATTTGGACCCTCCGAACCAACAAATTCTAAAAAAATTTTCTTTTCCGAGATTGTCAATCCCAAAAACGGTTGTGATTCGGAAATATGGTCAAAAACGTCGACTTATGGTACCAAAATTATCCCGATCGGATAACTTGTCTTTGAGAAATCGCCAAAAAGGCGTTCGTCAAAATGGCCTTTTTTCACCACCTATATAGGTTCTGAAAGATTTTTTCCGCAATTCCGGTCGAAAGTGCCTAAAAAGACTTGAAATGAGCGTAGCAGCCCTGTACGGCACTGGAATAATGCAAAAAACCGGACCAAAATTGGTTTAGAAACAAAAATTTGGCCAAAAACTATCAAATTTGGACCCTCCGATTCCTTCCTTTTCCAAACCTTAAGTCGTTAGCTCTATCCACGGAGCTACTCGAAGGGTTACCCAAAAATTTCTCTAGTAACCGAGCACGTTATGCTAGCACGCTCCTAACGCAAAAAATTTTATTGCTCTAACTCCAAAAACTCAAAAACTCGATCCCCAAAACAGATTGACAAAATACAGAAAATTATCAAAATTTTGGTCGAAAAATTTTCGTTTTTCTAACTTCTACTGAGTCTTTGCTCACGCGGTTTCCTTAGTGAAGGGGATCGAACTACGTAGCTACTCTCTATATAAAAGCTTTTTGCCTATCGGAAAAGCTCGGATATCCGAAAATTTGGGGGTCTACGGTTTGGTCGAAAATTGGTAATTTTCGACAAAAAATGGGTGTTTCTTGGGTCTAAATAGGAGATAAGTAATATATAATCAGGATAATAATCTATTAATAGTCGTTAATGAATAGTACTATACCCTCCTTTGCACCAAAATATCCGAATTAAGACCCTTAACTCGGAAATTTGTAATCGATGGAGGGTACAATCGGACCGCGCCAATCGTGCCCCCCACCACTTAAGTTTTAACGAAATAGTACCCGAACGATACTAAAATTGCTTCAACGATACCCAACAGTCGTTGCGGATGTTGTCCTTGATGTCCCTGTTGAGTGTGGAACACGTTGCTCAGCTTGCCACTCTACCCTCCGGCCACCGGCAAAATCACCATTAACGTGCTTAAACACTCAAATTACACTCGAGGGAGGGTATCCAACCCTTCACCAAAACACACAATCTTTCTATCAGAAACGATATAAATCAATCTGAAACAACAACAAATAGGAAGGTCAGATCACATCTCGTCCGGAAATAACATATAAACTGTCACTTTACGTTTTTTACTGTTTTTGGTCTTTTTTGGATTTTTCTTTTTTGTACTTTTTTGTTTTCAAATAAATTTATTTTTGGCTTTTTCTTGGTTATACACTATTTTTGTTTGGTTTTACGCTTTCTCTTTAATTGTTTTTGGTCCTGGGACATCAGGACAAGCGGGCTCTAGATTTCCCACCTAACCCTCCGGCACCCGGAATTTTCGGTGTTAACTAAGTTAAAAAGCTAAATTGTACTAGACGGAGGGTACGCACCTTCCCTCTAGTACAACAACGGTCATTAAGGCCTCTAACTCGGGCATACGCCCGGAGCGGAGGGTACGTCGCTGAAACGCTTGCTGATCATGATGGTTTCATGCCTTTAACAGGCCCACCCAGGAGCGCCATAAAAACGTCTATGTAACATTCGCCCAAATATCACACAGCGACGGAGCGTAGAAAAAGTACCTATTAACGACTGGCAGGCGTCAGTTACCTTAATTCTACTCGTTTTTCACCGTCTCGACCTTGCCAGTTGATTTTCTGGTCTGTCTAGGGCAAAGTTAAAAGTTACCATTTTTAGGCCATCAGTCAAACGACTTTTGATCAGCTTTCGTTTACATGCGAACACAACCACATAGCTGAGTCTCGGATCCTCAGACTACGTGATTGTCATTAAAAACACGGCTCGAACAACCTATTTTTATATGTTTTTGTGTGACAGTTTTATATTAAATCCATTGGAGATGGATTGACCCTTTCCCTTTTCTAGCTACTCATGCTCTGAAATAATAAATAATAACGGTGTTAATTAAGATCTATGACATTATAGCAGCTATATAGTCAGTCTATACAGTCCCTTCACATAGACAGTCTCTGGGGGGACCAAGCCTCCACTCCCGTAATATTCTTGAGATAACACTCTTATCTCTTATAATTCGTGTCCCGGGAGGGTTCCGTGGTATATTTCTTCCCCCACTGAAGCCTCCTTCTCCACAAATATCCGTCGCTAAGGTTCTTATCGTGTGTTATTGCCACGATAAGAGGCTTCGTAATTTTCTTGCTCGACTGTTCTTCACAATCTCTATCGTGGTTCTGTTTTTCGTCTTTTTATTCAAAATGGTCGTCTTTTCTCTATTTCTCAGAAATGTTCTTCTTCCAATCGAAATTTTAAAAATAAAAATTCTAGAACATTCTGACCCTCCGTCGCAACACTTTTTTGTTCATAAGGCCTTTAGTCACTCTTTTTTATGTCGCCGGAAGGTTGTGCTGTGTCATCTGGCAGAATGGCACATGTAACGGGTCGTAGTCTCATGTCACAAACGAACCGAATTGGCTCCGACTGATTTGAGGTAGAAAAACACAAGAGATAGTGTCCCTGACTCTTGAGCCAATAGTTAAAGGGCCAATTTTTCTTAAGCCTCATGTGTGACTGCAGTAGACGAATGTTACATAGTAATATAATTAATAAGTAGTAGCCCTGTTTTTAGGAGTGACCTCGTGGACGGGGGATACTGAGACCCAGCCATGAGCTCGCTATTTTTGCATGTAACTAAGTTGGTCTGAGCGTTCTGACCGAAGGTCAAAACAGTAACGATTTTGTCGAGCTGATGTTAAAAGGACCACACAAAGAGCTGGCTTTGGTAGAGACGGTTAAAAGCATGGAGAGCTATGTTTAGACGCTAGCCAGTTGTTTTACAACCTAGCTTTATTTTCCGTCGATATGTACTTCCGGGCGAATCTTACACGATTTGCTGAAGAGCTAAACAAACCTCGAGGGTGACAATCGGATCCCCTTGATGAAGTCCAATTTTTGAGTTTAGCACGAACGAAGCTGCCGTGTACAAGGCAGCTTTTCTCTCTGTAGCACAACGAAAAGAAAGGAAAAAGCCCATTAACACGATCCTTGAACACGCTGGCAACGAAATCCGAAAAATAAATTCGTTCCATGATAGCCGAAAAATAAATTCGTTCCCGGATAGCCGAAATTTTGGATCTACTTAACCGGGAACGAATTTTTTTTTCGGCTATCCGGAAACGAATTTATTTTTCGGCTATCCGGAAACGAATTTGTTTTTTAGCAAATCGAGAATCCCCATTGTACCCCCTTACCAATTTCTTAATTACTTTCAAATTGCGCATAAAGTGATCATTTTTTTCTAGAAAAGAAATGGCTGTCAGGCGAAAAATCATCGATATAGGTGCCAATTTAACAGATCTTGTGTTCAATGGCTGTTATCACGGTTCGTCCAAACACAAAGATGATTACCATATTGTTCTGAACAGAGCTTTCAATTCTGGATTGGAGAAGATCATTGTTACATCAGGTAACATAAATTGATTTTGGAGTTTATTTATTAAAGCATGCGCTTCCTACTTATCATATTGGTTTCCTCTACCGTAGGATGTCTTTCCGACACGGATGAAGCACTTAAACTGGTGAACCTCAACGAGAAACTTTTCACCACTGTTGGTTGTCATCCGACAAGGTGCAATGAATTCGAAGATCAAACGAAGGCAGAGTCGCCTGAAAAGTATTACGAGCTTCTCTCACAGACAATAGAGGGTAACAGAAACAAGGTTTTTATCAGCTGCTCTTTTGAGATAATAAACTTCTCTTAACTCTGAAAACGGTTAAATTTTGTCGGTTTCACTTGTCTTTTTTTAAATTCAACTTTCATATCACAAGCAGAGCAGAGCGAAATGTCATATCACGATGTGCACTTTTTTCTAACCCATTGTTTCGTAAGCTATATCGTATATTAGTAGTAGTAGTAGAACAGGATTTAGGGTTGTTATCCCATGGGTTTGCACCCAAAATGTAGTTTTAGTGTTAATGAGTTCTGAGTTTTCCATTTGGGTTACAGTTTCCACATGGACACATTATTTGCCATGTGCAGCTGTCCATTTCTGAATATCTTTCGAAGATTTTCCAATAAATTTCTGCTATGTCAGATTTCTGTATGTCAGATAACTGTTTTGAGGTATGTCAAATTATGACATTGAAAAGTGCTGGGCATCTAATGAAGTCTGAGTTGGTTTTCTTAAGGCGAGTTTTCGGTATTTGATATTCGTTTCTTTCATTTTGTCTCATTGAGCTTTTGGTGTTTTCGGCATATTGGTTAATGTCAATTTCGTAGTTATTGCGAACTATAGAAATGAACAGAAGGAGGTCGTGCATTTCAATGTACAGAGACAGCGGTAGCATTCTTATTTTTTGTAGTCTACACTTATATGGGATATGTGAGTTAAGCATCCATTTGGTCGCCGTTCGCTGAACCTTTTCAATTGCTCGGAGGTGTGATTTCGAGTAGTGCGTTACTGACGCGCCATAAACTACCATTGGGACTACATACCCCGTGTAGCAGGGCTTTTCAAAAATTAATTGAATTTTAAATTAATTGCAATTAATTGAATTTTTAACTAATTGTTGGGCATGCAATTATTTCAATTAAAATTTTCTCATGCCCAGTTAACTGCAATTAATTGCAATTAATTGTTGTTGAACAGAAGCAAGTTCGTTTGTTAAGCGTTGGTTGTTGAGCAACGAATTACATCTGGCGGTCTCGCGCAACACCCTCCTTAAATACATGGAAAAACCTACGAAACAAGTTGAAATTAACATTGCTAAGGAGCTTCCGGAGAAATTTTCGCTTATCATAGACGGCTGAACAAGACCAGATGGTTGAGTACCATGAACATGATCGACAGATATTTTGAGATGAAAGGTTTTGTGGAGAATTTGCCAAGTTTCTCTAAACTGGTTGATTACTTTCCTAGTGCAAGAGAAAACAGTGAACTCAAAGAACGCGCTTCAACGCGAAAATATTGACATGTCGGATGCAGGCATTCTTTTTGATGGAATTTTGGATGAGTACAAAGAAGAAGAGTTTGCGAAATACTTGTCTGAAGATGGCGATTTAGTTCATGTGCCAGTTTTCCAGAAAGCAATTATTAAATTTTTGAAACACAAAGAAGCTGATTTAACAATCGAAGAAAAGGCCGCTGTTGAGTCTCGACATCTGCGACATCTGAACTTTTCATTGATAATTGCAATTAATTGCAGTTTAACTTTTGTTTTTTTTCAGTTATTTGATAATTAATTGCTGAACATCCAATTAACTGCAATTTAATTGTTTTGATCTCAATTAATTTTTGAAAAGCCCTGCCGTGTAGGCATTTAGCTTAGAAGTTATAGGACAGTTTTTAGAGAGGTTACGCTTTAGTGAGTAAAAAGCCGATAGCGACTTCTGACAACGCTTAGACGCATTTACATTCCATGAGAGAGTGGTTGTTACTAAAATTCCTAGATCCTTTTGTTCAGTTTCGATTTTTAGGATATTTCCATTAATTTGACCTTCCAGCTCGTTTTTGAAATTAACGAGAGTACATTTTCCGGTATTTAGACGCATTTGGTTTTTACTACACCAATTTTTAATTGTCGTAGTGGAATAGTTCATTTCTGTTTGAGTTGTTGCTATAACCTTAAAGTCATCAGCATATCCAAAAGAGTCAACTAGATTCAAGTTATCTGGTAAGTCGTTTATATATAGTATGAAAAATAATGGTCCCAATAGAGAACCTTGAGGGACACCACTTGTTACGTAACATATCTTAGACTTTGCTTTGTTTATTCGCACATACTTTTTTCGAAGAAATAAATAAGAGGCTATTAGTTGAATTGCTTTTCCTCCAAAACCATAACACTTCAATTTATGCATCAAAAGTTGATGCGGAACGCAGTCAAAAGCATTTTTTAAAATCTAGATAGAGCGCTGTTGTATTTTTGGTCGTTTGGTCATCATAATTTATGTATACTTGATGTAAGTTAGCAAGGAATGGATCTTCCTCGGAATCATCTGATGCCATTGCTTTCCAGTCAGTTTTCGAAAAATTTATATCTCCATTTATCATTGATTTTTTCACAATTCAAGTCTTTTGCAGTTGCACTAACTTTGGTTAGAAAATCAACAATAGAGAAGGCTGTTGGTCTATGCGGGCTATCTTTTGGTGGGCAATAAACACAGCAAATGAGAGAGGATATATTTTCGAAATCAATTAGTCTCAAAGTAACTTAATCATTATTTGAGTTTATCGGTACATGTTGATGTTTAGAGTTGTTTCTAATGGCAATTAAGACACGGCCATGTTTCGTCTGGTAATTTTTGGATGGGCGATCACATCTGTATATTTCGAATTCTGGTATAAAAAGAGTTTCGGATCTTACTTCATCAGTCAGCCATGTTTCAGTTAGGCATAAAATATCATGTTTATTTGAAAGACAGATTGCATTTGCTAAACAAGTTCGACGTGACATTTCTATCAAACTTTTTACATTAGAGGTGAGTATTGTTGATACCAGTTTTTGTTTTTGGGTTAGTCAGGCTGAATTGTCATCGGGTTTTAGCTCTACCCAGCCATTTTCAGTTTTTCTACTTAATTTTAGATTTCTTAGTCGCAGTTGTGTGCTCTCGAATTTTCCGGATTGAATGAGATCACGTCTTGTTTTAAGCATGTTGTTTTCGATTTCCTGTTCATCAGGTGTTAGCTCTTTGCTTATGAATACTTTGTGTTCGTAGCCTTTGAGCTTGTGTAGAGAAAGAAGGAATCTTCGTTTCTCCCATGGCGCAGAGACTCTAAGAACTAACGGACGATTTTTATTTTCCGAGTCTTCTGAGATCACTTATTGGGCACTTGACGTCCATCTCATCAAGAAGATGAATCACTTTTTGCATATCTTCGTCTGCTCTTGACCTGGCGTCTGTTGCCTCTGACTCGGGTATGCCTCTTATGCGTATGCCATCGTATTCTTTTTGGGATGCTTTCCCGTTTTTGGGTGTGGGTTTTTTCGCTTCTGGCGCAACTTGTTTTTGTTGCATTTCCGATTTGATTTCAATCATCGCTTCCTTGAGTTCTTTGATGCCTTCTTCGGTTGTTTGTATTTTTTGAGTGCTTTCATTCGCATGTTTAGTATTAATAATTGCATCCTTCTGGTTATTTCCCACACATCTGTTACATAACAGAAGAACATTCTTGTTCAGTTGTTTCAATACGTTTATGGCATTTTCTTCCAAGTCTGTACAGTTGGTAGTCATGCGCATACTTTCGCCACATGACACACAGTTATATACTGCGTATCTTTTGTTAATGGGTTTTGAGCATGTTTTGCATCTTTTGTTATTTTCCATTTTAGAACTCATTTATTTGGGGCTGTTTGAATGGTTTTTTTTGGGGATATGTATTGTTGTGATTTACTATCGGGCTACCAGCTGGTAGTGGTATTTATATGAGAAGTCACCTCTCGCCGTGGAATGGAACCCGTTAGGAGTTCCGAGAGCTTGAGATGACTTAAAGATAGAAAAATTAGCAAGTCTATAACAGTGGAACCCGTATTGGGGTTCCGAGAGCTATAAACTTACTTAGAGAGGCTTGTAGGTTCCGCAATTTCACCACTGACTGCAGTGAAATACTTCTGGGTGCTTGTCTCGGGATGTTTCCAAAGACCACTTTGATCGCAGAACGTTGTTTTTCAGGATTGTTCGAAGACCTCTCAGGGATTCTTGGGTTATGTGAACGTCGTCGTTTGCGATATCGGCTTCACAGTATATTTTTCGTTTAATACTTCTATAGACCCAAGTATCTCCTATGGCCTCGCGCTGAATAACTTTGTCTACCTCGAGATGGCGATCTGTGTCCAAGACGCCAGTCAGGCGGTGTTTGCCTATTGTTTTCTAGCTTTGACTTTGAGAACAGATGAATCCCCCAACGCTCTATTTAATAAATTTTCTTTTCAATCATCGCTTCCTTGAGTTCTTTGATGCCTTCTTCGATTGTTTGTATTTTTTTGAGTGCTTTCATTTGCATGTTTAGTATTAATAATTGCATCCTTCTGGTTGTTTCCCACACATCTGTTACATAACAGAAGAAAATTCTTGTTCAGTTGTTTCAATACGTTTATGGCATTTTCTTTCAAGTCTGTACAGTTTGTAGTCATGTGCATACTTTCGCCACATGACACACAGTTATATACTGCGTCTCTTTTGTTTATGGGATTTGAGCATGTTTTGCATCTTTTGTAATGCTTAAGATTTTTTTTTACTTTTCCAGCGAGTTCAGTGTTTCTTTCACCAAGTTTGAAATTAGCAACCCGATATCGGGATGCTGTCAGGGCTTCCCCAGCTGTCGCGATTTTAGCTTCCATATATGAATAACCAAATACTTCTAGTTTACGAGATCAGGCATTTTTCGAGATTTTTCTAAAATTTCTAGGAAAATTAAATTTAAAAAAATTCACAAAATTTGAAATTCTCAACCCTGTAGTTTTGTGCTGTCAGGGTACTCTCAGGTGTTGCAAATGTTGCTCCCAAATAGCACTTCTCAAATTCTTGTACTGTTCAAGATATGACAGCATAAGACGTTTTTTGAATCATTTTTTCAAAAAAGTAAGATTCAAAAAAATTCCAAAACTTTGAAGATCTCAATCCTGTAGTTGAAAATTTCGAGGGTACTCTCTTTAGTTGCGAATCTGAATATGTTGCGACTCTGAATAGGACTGCTCAAATCCTTGTAGATTTGGCGAT